CGGGCGGCCCTGAAGTCGGGAGCGGCCGAGGTGGCGAAGCTCTGGTGGCTCGAGGACCGGCCTGGCTTCGGGGAAGCGCGCGGGGGCTGGAGTTTGAGTAGGGAGCTAACGTATTTTGACGCCTGGTCCCCAGTTGCCTGACAAGGGTAGGCCCGGTGCAGAAAAGATGAGCCGCGTCTAAGGCGGGACTCACACGCACCCTGGACGTTTACTGAAAATGTTATTCCCATTTAACCGTTTGTTGTTCAATAACAAAGCTAGAACAAAGGCGGTGGCATCTATTTTTATTTAGCAGATTTATACTCCGTCTTTCATTCGCTGTACTTATTTCTTTTCGCAATAATTCTGTGAGGTAGGTGGGCAGAAAGAGCAAAGCCCCCCAGGGAACTTCTGTGGCTGAAAGTGGATTGGAAGCCGGCTCTCCTTGTTCCTGGTCCAGCACTTAAGTCGCTACACCAATTTGGCTTTTTAAATGCTTTTTGCTAAATAACTTACTTACATTTTTTGTGACAGTAAAAAAAAAAATCTTTAAGTAGATTGCTTCAGTGTTTTCTTTGCCAGACTAGTCACTTATAATGACTTCTTTGAGTTGAACTCAGGAGCTGGTGATTGCATGGATGTGTCCATGTGTCCAACGTACAGTCCTAGGATTTCCTGGTGGTTTCTTATCCATATATTAATTATAGGCCCCACCGTAGATTGTATAACCATACTACGCTGCTTTCCCACTGTTTTTCATCAATAAACTCTAGGTTTGGGGCCCAGCAGCCGATTTCAGTGCTTATCCTCTCTTTAATCCTTTATATTACGTGTATTATAATATAAAAGTTATGTCTTATGACTGCATGTCAAGGCTGCATGCAAGTCACAGTGGAACTGTGTGTGGGTCTGCTTACGTTAGAAGGATTTTCAACAGAATTCAGTGAGACTTCCTCTGATGAGTATGAAATCTGTTTGTGTTCTATCATCTGGAAATTACTTCATGTGAAAGTTGTGTGTGAAAAAGGTTGTCCATGAAATGTTATGTGTGGCAAAAAAGTTAGGAACTCACCTCTTTTCTTCATCTTGAAGGCATAATAGCTTGCAAATAACACCAAGAGTATGTTTGGGGGGGGGGAGGGAGAGAGGTCTATATATGAGATAGATAAATAGATATGCCTTGGCTGAGAAAAGTTCTGGCAAGTTGCTGCTTAAAGAAGCTGTTTACTAATTAAGGTTAAGCTGGTTAAGGGTATTAATGAAAAGAGAGAAACAAAAACAGAACATTTAAAATTCTCTAGTTGCTCCTTCCATAGCAAAGAAGCGACCCAAGAGCTTTTTCTTAGAAGCATTGGGGGCTAGGAGAAGAAGATGGGCAAAAAAAATTTTTTAACAGATAATTATAATTACTCTTCTAGGTGGATTCTTATGGTAGATGCCTGAATAACCGAAAGCTTCCCAATATGAGACTGATGGACACTTCTACAGCCACTACAGAGGACTCTGAATTCATGAATTTTATTTCTAAATATAAGTTTCACCTGGCTATGGAGAATGCCATATGCCATGATTATATGACAGAGAAACTTTGGAGGCCAATGCACATAGGGGCTATTCCTGTATATCGAGGTTCACCATCTGTACGAGACTGGATGCCTGATGATCATTCCATTATTCTCATTGATGACTTTGGAAGCCCTAAAGAACTTGCAGAATATATTGATTTTTTGGACAGGAACTCAGATGAATATTTGAAATATCTAGAGTACAAGAGTCCAGGTGGTATTACAAACCAGTTCTTGCTGGAGAGCATGAGGAAGCGTGAATGGGGAGTGAATGACATGACTCTCCCTAATTATCTGAACGGATTTGAGTGCTTTGTCTGTGACAGAGAAAATGCAAGACTTAATGCAGAAAGGGACCACAAAAAAACTCATGGGAAATTGCTAGCTCCGGAAGTTCATATAGCCCAGACCACACACATGGGATGTCCTTCACCAGCACCCGGCTATGGCAATATTGAAGACATTCCTGATGGAGACAGGTAGTTGCGTTTATTATTAAGGATACAAAGTTAATTCAATGTTATGACTATATTTTATCTTATGAGTTATTAAACTATAGAATGCATTTATAGGTAATGGAGATCATTTATCATGGCTGGGAGTCAAATTTTATGTTTTTGGAATACAGCCCATTCCAATAGGATGTTCTGAATGGGGCTGCTGTCCAAAGGTCAAAATAAAACATTTTCCCCATTTTTCTGTGCATCCATAGTGTTTGAATGATCATACAAGCAGCACCAAATATTTAATCAGTTACACTCTCTATCTTTGTTGTTGGAAGCTACAGTGGAGCAAAAAAGTATTTAGTCAGCCACCAATTGTGCACATTCTCCCACTTAAAAAGATGAGAGAGGCCTGTAATTTTCATCATAGGTATACCTCAACTATGAGAGACAAAATGGGGGAAAAAATCCAGAAAATCACATTGTCTGATTTTTAAAGAATTTATTTGCAAATCATGGTGGAAAATAAGTATTTGGTCAATATCAAAAGTTCATCTCAATACTTTGTTATATATCCTTTGTTGGCAATGACAGAGGTCAAACGTTTAAAAAGATGAGAGAGGCCTGTAATTTTCATCATAGGTATACCTCAACTATGAGAGACAAAATGGGGGAAAAAATCCAGAAAATCACATTGTCTGATTTTTAAAGAATTTATTTGCAAATCATGGTGGAAAATAAGTATTTGGTCAATATCAAAAGTTCATCTCAATACTTTGTTATATATCCTTTGTTGGCAATGACAGAGGTCAAACGTTTAAAAAGATGAGAGAGGCCTGTAATTTTCATCATAGGTATACCTCAACTATGAGAGACAAAATGGGGGAAAAAATCCAGAAAATCACATTGTCTGATTTTTAAAGAATTTATTTGCAAATCATGGTGGAAAATAAGTATTTGGTCAATATCAAAAGTTCATCTCAATACTTTGTTATATATCCTTTGTTGGCAATGACAGAGGTCAAACGTTTAAAAAGATGAGAGAGGCCTGTAATTTTCATCATAGGTATACCTCAACTATGAGAGACAAAATGGGGGAAAAAATCCAGAAAATCACATTGTCTGATTTTTAAAGAATTTATTTGCAAATCATGGTGGAAAATAAGTATTTGGTCAATATCAAAAGTTCATCTCAATACTTTGTTATATATCCTTTGTTGGCAATGACAGAGGTCAAACGTTTCCACCATGATTTGCAAATAAATTCTTTAAAAATCAGACAATGTGATTTTCTGGATTTTTTCCCCCATTTTGTCTCTCATAGTTGAGGTATACCTATGATGAAAATTACAGGCCTCTCTCATCTTTTTAAGTGGGAGAACTTGCACAATTGGTGGCTGACTAAATACTTTTTTGCCCCACTGTATCCGTCTTGGGTGGCCCTGCATGATATAGCTCGTGGCTTCACTGAGTTACGCAAGCCCCAAGATATGACATAATATTGCAGAATATATGAATGATAGAATGCCAACTTTTCAACCAATAACTGTTTCTGTGCTTTTAATAGTAGAATATGAAGCACTTTACATGCTACATTTGTCTCATGCACAGCAGCCTCCACTAGTTAAAACAAGAGTTCTCAAGCTATGCAATACCATTACCACCTAAAACAATAAAATGAATTTGTGTGACCCTCAACCCATGAATAAAAATAATGATTTAATTGGGGTCAGTATTAGGCAAGAAAAAAAATACCACTTACTTTAATAATTACATTTTAAGCTATAGTACTGTGCAAAAGTTTTAAGCAGGTGTGAAAAAATGGTGTAATGTAAGAATGCTTTCAAAAATATATATTGTAATTGCTTATGTCTATCAATTTACAAAATACAAGGTGAACAGAAGAAAAACCCAAATCAAATCAATATTTGGTGTGACCCTTTGCCTTCCAAACAGCATCAATTCTTCTAGGTACACTTGCACACAGTTTTTGAAGGAACTCATTAGGTAGGTTCTTCCAAACATCTTGGAGAACTAACCACAGATCTCCTGTGGATGTAGGCTGCCTCACATCCTTCGGTCTCTTCATGTAATCCCAGACAGACTCGATGATGTTGAGATCAGGGCTGTGGGGGGGCCAAACCATCACTTCCAGGACGCCTTGTTCTTCTTTACGCTGAAGATAGTTCTTAATGACATTTGCTGTATGTTTGGGGTGGTTGTCCTGCTGCAGAATACATTTGGGGACAGTCACATGCCGCCCTGATGGTATGGCATGATGGATCAGTATCTGCCTGTATTTCTCAGCATTGAGGACACCATTGACCCTGACCAAATCTCCAACTCCATTTGCAGAAATGCTGCCCCAAATGTGCAAGGAACCTCCACCATGCATCACTGTTGCCTGCAGACACTAATTATTGTACCGCTCTCCAGCGCTTCAGCGAACAAACTGCCTCCTGCTGCAGCCAAATATTTCAAATTTTGACTCATCAGTCCAGAGCACCTGCTGCCATTTTTCTGCACCCCAGTTCCTGTCTTTTCGTGCATAGTTGAGTTGCTTAGCCTTGTTTCCATGTCAGAGGTATGGCTTTTTGGCCGCAATTCTTCGATGATAACCACTTCTGGCCAGACCTCTCCAGACAGTAGATAGGTGTACCTGGGTCCACTGGTTTCCGCCAGTTCTGTGTTGATGGCACTGCTGGACATCTTCCCATGCCAAAGTAAGCATGATGTGCCTTCCATCTGCTGCATTAAGTTTCCTTGGCCGACCACTGCAGCTACAGTCCTCAACGTTGTCCATTTCTTTGTGCTTCTTCAAAAGAGCTTGAACAGCACATCTTGAAACCCCAGTCTGCTTTAATTTTTTGCCTCGGAGAGACCCTGCTGATGCAGTCTAACTACCTTGTGTCTTGTTGCTGTGCTTAGTCTTGCCATGGTGTATGACCTGTG